CGAAGAAGATCTCCAAAGAAACACAGTCGGAGCACTCGTTCGCTGATTACGAAAGATTGGAGGAGAGACACGCGGAACTGACGACGCGTCTGAATGCTCTGGAATGCGAGAGCCTGAGCCGAGAGTGCGAGATAAGGCAGGAGCTGGTGGACCAGTACTCGGCAGCTATCGCCGAGCTGGAATCCGCTTGGAAGAAACGCGCGCAGGACATCGAGGACGAGGGACGAGATTTGCTGAGGTGGTCGGTGAATCAGGTGGAAACGTTCTACAAGGAGCGGATCGACAGCATAACGCGCGGCAAGAAGAGGAAACGGGACGAGAACGACGACGGTGACGGGGTTCGATCGATTTACGGGGAACTCGAGACGGAGAACGCGATGGTGACGTCGAAGGTGGTCGTTCTCCGAGAGATGGTGCAGAGTTTGCGAGTGGAGAACGAGTTGCTCTGCACGGATAGAAACAAATGCAACTTCGAATTGGCACTGGCCAAGGAGAAGCTCAAAGGTTTCCGCGACTTGATTCGGATACACTTTCCCGAGTTGTCTTCGAGGGCGACGCAGAACGACGCGAACGACGTCGGTTGGCTCGTGCACGAATTGAAACGCGCGTTCGACGAGAAGGCGGAGAACGTGCGATCTCTGGAGAAGAGGTTGAATCAGATGAGCGACAATTACTTGCAGATGGCGGCGAGATCCGTTGAGATGGAGAAGGAGTTGCGGAACGCGAAGGTCACGCTGAGCAAAGCGAAAAGTTTCGAGAACGAAACGCGAGAAAAGACGCGGAAAAATATCGTTCGACACTTGCAGCTGCAACTGCAGTTGCTCAGGAAAGAGTTGACAGAGTCACGGGAGTGTGATTCGACTCGAAAACATCTGACTCGTTCGTTCAGCAACGAGGATCTTTTCGGCAGCGATAACAGCGACAACGCCGGAGAGTTGACGACGCAGGCTCACGTGGACACCAGAACGGAACGACATTTCAATCAGGGGGATAGAAGCTCGTCGAAAAAAGTTTCCCTGCACAACGTCGTGGACTCGGACTCGTTCCGATCCTCCAGCGGGAGCAGCAACGCGAAAGAGGACTCTGGCATCGACTTCAGTTGCAGAAGCCAGAGATCGACGAGCATCAACGACAGTTCGATTGCGGAAGAAACGAAGGAGAGTTGTACGCAAACGACGACAACGACGCTGTTTCGAGACGACGACGACGACGATGATGACGCTGAACAACAAGATGAACTGTTTCGCCAGGCGAGCGATTTGAGATCGGTGATGGACGCTTTGAGGAGAATCGCGGACAGCAACAAGTCGGAGGTGGCGGATTGCAAGAGCAAATTGTCAGTCTGCGAAGAGAGGATGAAAGAGCTCGAGGAGGAGAACGAACGACTAACGAGAATGGTGGAGGTAGACGCACGGAAGTACAACGAGCGTGTCGGCGAGTTGACTCGAGAACTTCTGGTCAAGGAAGAGGACGATAGTCGGTGCCACAGGCGACTGGAGAATTGTTTGAAGAAGTGTGCCTCTCTCGAGAATCAATTGTCCGCGCTCTATCTCGTTCACGAGCGGACGCTGAAATCGCTCGCCGGGCAGAGTCCGCGGATCGAAAAATCGGGCAAGGCGAAAGATTTGGAGACGAGCGCAGAGGCGCGAGGCGATCCGCTCGCGGTGCAGCAGCTGCGCGAGAAGGTTAACGGGCTCGAGACTGTTCTCGAAGAGTGCCGGCAGGAGAGGAACAATTATCGCGAGCGATTGCAGGAACACTTGGAGACGCAGTCGTTGCTGGAAACGAAACTGAAGTGGCTGTCGTCGGAAATTCGGAGCAGAGACGACGAGTTAGTCTCGCTGAGGGCGGAGGTGAACGACGCGGCGCTGGCGAACGATTCGAACGACGAGACGCTGAAGAGTTTGGGAGAGGAGATCGGTCGATCGAACGAGACCGTGCGCCGCGTGAAAGAGAAACTCGCGTATTTCGAGGAGACGAGGAGGAATCTCGAGGAAAGATTGGAAAACGCGATCGTCGATCCTCGATCACTTTCGACGAAAATTCACGAGGAGAAGAGAGAAGACGAGGGAGAGGAATTTCGCAAACTAAAGCTGCGGATATACGAGAACGAAAGGGAGATGGACTTACTCAAGAAGCACAGGAATAGTATGATAAAGAAGTACGAATGTATGGTGCAACGTTTGAGGATAGAGGTTGAGAAGAAGAAGGAACAGTTGACCAAATTGCAGAAGTCAATATTGTCGAATTTCACGTGGAACTATCGAAAGTTTTCTAACAGCAGTCGCGAGAAGTCTATGGCTTTTCAATTGCAGAAATGGAGGAACTGTAATGATCAACACTGGAAGCAGACGTTTGTTGATAGGAAAACTAGCAACGAAGAATTACCTCCGTCAATTACTAATTCGTCCAGCGTCCATTCGTCAAGTTCGCAACTGTCGATGAAAAACGAGGAGTTTGACACAGAGGAGTCTTGCCCAGTACGTTCATAATCTACTTACAAATGAGAAAACAGTTTCCCGTCTTAAGTTCTGAAGTAATTTACCAACGTTGCTATCCACGTTTATAAATTTGACATTCCCGCGGCCTGCAGATGAAATTTTGACTTTGCGCAAAGAAAAAAAAAAAAAAAAAATCGACGATTCGAGGCATCGAAGATTAATTTTAATAAAGATGACGCTTTCGTACTTCGTTCTTTGCCCTTATTTTCCAAGCTTCCATATATCGAAGCTATCGAATCAGCGTTTTATCCATTTCGATGTAACGATGTATTAATAAGCGTATTAACCGTTGCTTCCTGTCTTATACTCTCTACAGTTTTAAACGCTTCAGACAGAGAGCAGTTTGGGGTTGAACGACTCGAAGGTAGACACACGTCAGATCCAGAGCGATGCCTCCGACTGTTCTGAAGTGCACTGCGGCTGCGGTATCGGTTTTAAAAATGCTGCGAGGCACGGAAAAATGTCAGGTTGGATGAAAGTTCGAAGAAGCAGCAGCAGCAGCAGCAGCAGCAACAGCAGCGTGAATGCCTGTCTCCTGCGTCAACCTGACGGCGAATTCACCACTGTTCGCAACGATGCTCTCAAGACTGACAAGTTGCAAA